TGTTGTCTGTCACTTATTTAGGTCACATGATGCAAAGTAGTAGAAGAACGATTGAGCAGCGTTATTGAAGATAAGCTGTCTTTGGAGTTTTAAGTAGACCCATCTCTTTGATTCCATTATTTATTAGGATTTTGAGTGCTACTATCACCGCCCAGGTTCATTCATTGTAGAATCAGCTTCCCGTGTAGATGTTTGAAAGGCGTTGATAAACAGGTGAAATAATTGTACAAATATTCAGGAAACACTTCAGGCAGTCCAATTCGAGGCTTTTCTTGACGGAGAAAGTATTTCCGTAAGTTGGTATGTTTCGTTCAGAACGTTGTTTTAGTTTTTCTCATCAAGTTGATGTTCAGCATCAAAGGAAACAAAAGATAAGTATGAGTGGTGTTGGGTGGAGATTATACCAGGTAGGACAGCTTAGAGCACCAGGTATTTCTTATCCCTTTGGACCCATTCGAAATTTACGTGTGCTTTGATTTACGCATATAAAAACAGTTTAATTGTTTTATATATTGATTGTGATGTGCATTTTTATGTTTGCTGTGTTTTCGTGGTGAAAGGAACTCGGAGCGCTCTTACTTTTCCAACTACCTACAATGAGTAGTCGAACCTATGATCATGCAAACATTCGTAAATGCCTCAGAGCAGGGGGAAGGTGATGACTATAGCAACTTTATTTTATACTTTTATGAGGGCCATTATATTCTTATTAACTCAGAATGCATAAATAGTGACTAAGTAAGTAACAGATTCATCATTTATTAAGTGAGGAGCGTAAGAGAAGTAGTGAACTTCCAGTGAGTATTTATTTGATAAAGCATATACTAAGCGTGGCCCAGTTTATTGAAGAAGAAATTACTTCTAAGGTTGGTGGTACAAAACTCTGTCCCAGCCTACCTACCTACGGTATATCTAGGGAAGCAGTCTAAACTACAATCACCGTCTTGTATTCTTAATATTAAATAACGTTGTACTCCTTGAAGGTTTAGTTTGTCTCTTATACGGAGACCAAATATAACACACAAACAGTATTCTAATGGTGGACGAATAGACACTTTGTACAGTAGGACTGTTGATTCAGTATTATGAAAATTGCAAATAATATATCCCAGGAGTCTGTGTAAGCTGCTTGTTCGGAGAAAGTGAAGTCACTGGAATATCTTAGCCCTAGGTGAAAGACAGGGTTAATTTTTAATAACTGTTGCCCAGTTGTCTCAAATAACAAATTAAGCTTACTGTCACCAACGCAAATACATCCGCATTTTTTGAAGCTGAATTGTAGAGATATCTCAGCATATCAGCCTCGCTTAGTCAGTGTTTATTGGCAGTCATAGTGTCAGTTAGCTCATGGATATAACAGGAATAAACAGCTTTCAGGTCGTCATCCATAGCAAAGCAGCTACAGACACCGCTAATGTAGATAATAAGTAAAAGAGGCCCAAGAACACTACTCTGTATGACGCTACTTTTGATGTATCCAGGAGTAGATGGAACTGAGTTAATTTCAGTTATTTGGGTGAGATAACTTAGGAAAGATTTTAACCAGTTTAGTAGAGAGTTGCGAATACCTACTAAGTTTAACTTCTTGAAGAGTATATCATGCAAAATCATGTCGAATGCCTCCTGATATAACCTTGTTGCATATGAGTGGACTCTTGAAAAGTTACCTTGAGCCACTCGGTACCTCGAAAACAGAAATAAGCAGCGAAATCCATAAAAGTTTCATTATCAAGTGGAGCAAGTTCAAAACGTAACAGTTTATAGATATTTTCAATGACCTGGATATGTTCTAAACTTTTCTAGAAAGCTTTTTAGCCTATTTGAAACCCAAGTATAATCACGTGGTTCTCGGCGAATATTCAGAATGCTATATGGCACATGACTGGTTGTGAAAGGTTCTCAGGAAATTACAGGCTTGATAACACCTCATTCTTTAAAAAAATAACTATAAGTAGGAGAGTTGATAGAGATTCGTTTAGATCTTCTTCATGCGTTTCCTGAAGCGAATCGAGCATTGCTGTGGTGGTTTCGGGATAACAGAATTTTTCTTACTCCATCAAAGTAGTGATTCGGTTGCTGACTGATATGGGTTCGGGTTTAATGTATCATTATAGAGCATTCCTAAATGATCTCCATCGCCTTCACAGACATTTGGATGTATTACTGACGAAGAATGCAAAATTGAAATGGTCAGCTGACTGCGCACAGGCGTTCGATAAAATTAAGTCTACTTAGCTCGGAGTTGGACCTCACTGACTACCCATTGTGATTGCCTCTGGTGCTTCCGACTATGGTGTTGGTGCGGTAATATCGTACGTTTTGGTTTTGAGAAGGCTATCTATCGTTCATGCCTCCCGGCACATTGACGTCCACAGAATGCAACTACAGCCAGCTTGGAAAAGAAGCATTATCTGTAGTCTTTGCGGCCAAAAATTTCTGTGAAATGATGCATGGATGACAATCGACCTTATTGACGGATCACAAACCCTCACGAACAGTGTTCACTTCAAAAAAGGTTATTCCAGTTTATACTACAAATCGCCTTTAACGGTAGGCTACCACACATGTGAGTTATGATTTTAACAAACAGTACCAACCTAAATATTAATTTTGGCCAGACGCCTGCTCTCTCCCGACTAGTCAGTCCTCATTATTCGCCAAAAGAAGACACTATGGTTGAAGTTCGATAAGTCCCAGAAGATAGATTACGTGGCTTACCAGGGACTCTTGAAGATATCAAAGCTTTTATTAAAAGAAATAAGACTCTAAGAACTGTTAAAAGGTTAAGTGACCAGCATCTCAACACACTGAAGACCTTAATCAGTACTATCACCGTCACTACTCGCAGTCGATTGTGGAATCAGGTGTAGTACCAAAGAGTCTTAGACAAAAGATGCTGAACCAATTTGACATTTGCCACCCAGGAGTAAGTAACTAGAATGAAATGCTTGGTGCGCAGCTACGTATATTGACCTAGTATCGATGTGGAAACTGAAAAGATATGTCAAAATTGTCTCAGCTGCACCTATAGTTATAGAAACCCATCAAAGTCTCCCTCATATGCATGGGTGATGACTGAAACTCTATGGCAAAGCAATCATATTGACTTTTCTGGGTGAATAACAGCTAAAATGTATCTTATTATTGTTGATGCACATAGAAAATAGCCCAAAGTTCTCTATATGCCAAAATGCACAAGAGCAGCTGCTGTCGCCAAACTGACTAGTTTGTTTAGCTGCCTCAGCGTCCCCCGAAACATGGTCATCGATAATGGTACACAATTCACTTCGGCAGCATTTTCAGCTTTTTGCAGACAAAAGCTAATCTGACACTTACGGTTCCCACCCACAATCAAACGCCCAGGTAAAATGAATTGTGAATACATTTAAACGTGCTTCATTGAAAGGGAAGGCTTAGTAAGCACCGTTATTAACAGACTTCTTGTAAACTACAGAAGCACTTCAAATCCTAATACTTCAACCGCGAAATTTCCTGTAGAATGGATGTTTAGTTGCCGAATAAGAACCATTTTTGTCTCTATGCTGCCCACAACTACGTTAAAAGGAGGGAGCGGGTACAACAAAACAGCAAATCCTGTCCTACTGACAAGGTTATGGTAAGAAAAACTTGCTGAGTACTTTGTGAAATGCAAGTTTGTTCAGAAATCTGAAGGAGACACGTAAATCAAATAAAACCAAGACGTCATAACGATAGTAGAAATGATATTCTTGTCAGCATGCAGAAAGAGCACATCACTGCAGATAGATTTGCAGGTATAGAGGAGCAGCTAAATACTAGATGAAAACAGACTAGCTTCATAGCACTGCAACCGTTACCTTGGTGGGAATGTTGAACACTCCCAAAACTAGATAGCTAACCACAGAAGAGGATTGGAAGTAATTATTGTTACTGCACAACTTGAGCAAAGTCAATAATTTCTGCGGATCGGATTACACACTCTTTTCTAAATGGATACTCTGTTGCTGTGAAATGCTCTCATAGACTTGATTGTAAGGAACCATTTCAAATGGATAGCTGGTACATGTTTTTAGTTTCCTATTTAAGATCACTGCTAATTACGGTTAACTGTTTTTTAATCTTTATTATTTAACAAGCTGATTACATCTGTCAAGTTTGGAAGCGAATACCACCAATGTGTCGTAATCTCATAAATCACATTCACCACTAGCCTAAAATAAATCTATCAGACCGCACACTTAATAAACTAAACTTTTTCATTCAATTCCTTGTATTCATCATCAGGCTTTCTGAATAGACAACTCAGCATAAGCGAGTGGTATCAACACTGAGTTTATCTCATTAGTACTTCATGGTGCTTCTCATCAACAATACTTTCTTTTGCTTCCATTTACTATTACTAACTTCGTAGTAATGATGAAAACTGTTCGTATATTTTTTGCTATGGAATTCATCTACTCTTAGAAAACACCTTGCATTCTATTTACTCACCGGATCACCATACAATTAAGAAAATTCATACCACTCTTATGCACAAAGTACATGTGTTGTCGACCTGTAACTTGAATTCACATATTTTCTCATAATCCCCAAAAAATCCTGGAAAATATTTAGTCATTCTGATAGGTTCCCTTTGGTTCTATTCTGTGCTACTGACTGAAAATCCTATCGTCATAAATAAACCTGATCTTCAATTCTTGTTTAGTAAAACTTATGAATGAAGAGACGATCATTTTGAAAAGACTATGATTGACGCATTTGCGAAAGAATTTCTACTGATCAACAGATTCAACCAGCACAGTTGTTTCCTGTTAAATTAATTAGTAAGTCGGTTTGTACAAAAATACTGAATATTCATTTATGATGAGTGCAACAAAGCAGAATTAGTAACAAAGAAAATTTATTTGGGAGAAAACAAGAAAATAATGAGATCAAGTATAAAGAGAAGTAGCGATATGTACACGCGATGTAGGTCGTAAAACCAATTAGACGAGGAAAAACAATAACAATTTAAAATCCAGTTAAACAAATCGAAAACGGCAAAGATTTAAGTCTTCCTTTGTTGCATTTAGAAATTTGTACGGTATACCTGGAAGGTAAGTAATATTACAGTGATGAAAAGTGTCAACAAAGTATACCATAAATATTTTCTGAAAAATAATAACAATAATACGCTTTATACACATCACAATAAAACACAATGTAGTATGAAACTTTCTAAAATGCCAGCTAGTCGTCTTATCATCACATCAGCATGATGATGGCACTCTTGTTAGAATACAAAGTGACTCACTGCTTTTTCACTAGCTGTTGACATGACTACAAAAATTATTAAACGTAGAAAACATTTGGTAACTGTTATGTCCTAGTATGAAACATCAGTCTATAGGAAGCCGAACTGAATAGGGTAGTGTATCTAAGTTTCAACAGCTATTGTATGCTACAAAACATAAAGCATAGGATAATAAAATGCTTGTCTAAAGCAACCAAAGTTATCCATCTGCATACTACATAAACACGACAAGAGGAAATCAAACAATTAACTGAAACACCAGTTATAAGTGGACATCAAAAACTTAAAAATCTATACATGAAAGAACAAACGTTAAAATGTGTAGAAAGCGTTTAAGTCACGTTTCACTACGGTAGAAGAGTAAGACGGTATAATCTCAAAAGAAGACTCAATTTAGATATCAACGAAGTTTATCATGCAGACTCAAGATAACTCAACTCAATCAAACTGCTTGATGCATGTCTTTTTTTTTAAAGATCATCTCCTTCACCAAAAATTACCAACAGAATGTAAGTTGGAATGGAAAACGATGAATGCACTAAGTCTTCATGGACATGTGTAAAAACGGTTATCTTTGACACCAGCATGATACATATCACTTCTTGTTGAATAACCACCTTCGTCATAGAGTCATACATATCTGATGACAACACCAAACTGGTGGTACAAAGATGTGATGCTGTGTGCGTGAGTGTATTGACGAATGACAAACTCTGAATCCTTGTAAATGAAGTTATCCAACAACTACGACAGTTGAAAACTAGAATACTTACGAATTGAATTTCAAAGTCTCTAATTCACTTTTAAAAACTGGATGAGATAAAACATCCAATTATACTCGATGAAATGGGTTGGTGAAAAGTAAAAGTTATTGGCGCTCCATAAATATTAGTAAACAATACATCTAGGCTGGAATTCATCAAAGACTGACACTAGTAGGAGAAACACTGGAAACCTGAGAGCACTCAACAGCTGTTTCGTCCTAGTATGGGACTACTCCTCAGCAGTGCGAACTCATGACTAATTCCAATCTGAAATCAATAAATCTCCACAAACCTCAAAATTGAATATATTCTACAGTTATGCCATTCAAATGGTAATTCTGCAATCTGAATATCTGAAGTAAACCAATTCACCTTCTTAGACTTTTCAAATTCTACTGGTAACCTTTTCAAAACTAAAGGTAAAATATTTACAAATCCATATCAATAATCCTAGTGAATGTGTATGGTTGTGCTGAGAAAAGATTAAATACATTAATCTAAGATACAAGAAATACAGAGAGTTTGGCAATAGTCGATCTTTGGTTTCAAAACTTCACCTGACTAATTAAAAAATTAATGTATTGAATGAAAGACAGGGAAAAAATCACCTTCGGAGGATAATACGTTACTATACAGGATTGTGATATGCGAGCATAGAACATTACTGTGCATGGTTTATATATTACGCCATTATAACATTTTTATTCAACGAAAATGCAAATATTTGGCAGTAGGAAAAAAGTCTTTAAAGTGTTTTGACAGTATTTCCTAAAATAAATGCTACCACTAATGTTGGAAAAAACGTACGAGTATCTTACAAAGTATTAGTACAACCTGGATGGAGTAAAACAAAGAAACAAACACATTGTGAAGGTGAAACCTGGGGCACTGTGTTACAGCATAACTCCATAGTGGATTGTTTATTTCATATGAATACAATATGAGCGATGAATTCTGCCAGAAACGTCATCCAGTAGATTATACCGTGTGTGTGTGTGTGTGTGTGCTATACCAAATGAACAACTTAATATGAAACAAGTCTCTCTTATCTCAAGAAAGAGACAACAACAGTAGAGAAAATAAAGACACCTAAATAGCGAAGCGAAAGTTGACAGTCAACAAACAAACAACCTGAATGGGTAAGAAAAATAGAAGAAAGCCTGGTTTACCATTGAAGTGTCATAAAGGTATCCTGGGCATTTAACACAAGTTTCGAAACTGTCTCAGATTTTCTTAGGCTGGTTGTGATCGGAATAACGTATGAAAAGAACACCACACCACACTACAAAATACCTTTTTCAAACTAGCACCTTATCACCTTCAAAATGTTTTTAATACCTCAAGTGTGGAGTAATAAAAAGTAATTTCATAAATTCACCCGAACAAAACTTACCCTTTGGAATAAAAATGGTGCATGGCTGTTCTAAAGGGATTGCGTATCTCTCAATTTGTACAGCATATCGAGGTTTACCAGGAGTAGCGGATGGAAGATGAAATATGTGCTTGAATATATTTAGGCCATCTGGATCACAGTGGAGTTGACGTCTTTCTTGTTCACTACTAACAATTCTGGTAAGATTCGCATCCACTTCAAAACGAGGAGCACCAAATTGATTTTGACTAGGAAAGATCCCAGACAGTGCGGGAACTACATAAGTTGAGCATTCCGCAGCAGAAAAGAAAGTCCGAGTGAATGTTGCGCTCTCTGGAAATATTACTTCTACAATCGATAAGAGAACCAATACATGTTATCAGCTATGTGTGAGGACAGGGGGAAAAAATCAACATGGAACCTGGCATGACAATGTAACGATCCAAGTAGCGACACTAGATCAAACGAGAATGCACCAAGATGAAGGGTCAAAAACAGAGAAGAAAGGAGCTAAAAGTAGTGAAAAGCCATCGGAGAGGATCAAGGAAGATTGAGAGAATACGTAAATGCAGTAGAACAATTAAGATGAAGGTAATGTGTAGATATCTATTCAGCATTGAGATTGGTTTTGAGCTATGTCAGTGGAAGTTTGTCACAACACTAGTTTCTGTTGTCACACGGACACCATCCAGGATGCCTCAGGGGAAAAAATAGTGAGAATTCACTCAACAACTTTGGGCACATTCGTGCAGTAGGTAATCAGCCACAACAATTGTCTAGCGGTTAATCATATTACCTGGATGCCCAAACCTCAATAGACGGATCGCTGTTCAAATCCACCATCCATTGATTGTTGTCATCGTTTCCCTGAACCAATGGGCCACCACTCCACACTACCTCAATCACTATTCCTAAAATAACAGAATTGTTTATACCTCTCAATGTTCAGAAGTGCTACATGTATTCATGTAAAACACTATGATGATGATTATATGAAAAGTAAGCCAAAATTTGACTGGAAAACTGAAAATCATAAGACATTATTACAACTAAAATGCATCACTTACGTTGAGATGAAGATATACCATTACGAATAAGAGATAAATGCGTTTCGGTAGATGGCATCCATTCAACATCCGGATCAAGTTGAATTTCAACACATCCATCTGATTCCACCTTCGCCGAACCTTTAAATCAAAATACAATAGCAATAAAAATTTAAGCTTAAATATGGTTCGACTTCTTTCAATCGAAAATGTATACGCATCAACATTACTAACAACAGGAACGCAAAGGTTCACAAACACAGGTAAACATGTCGCAGTAAGAAATGGTAGAACTCTGAGTGCAGTATTAAAAATCGTACAGCTATACAGAAGATAAAGAAAACAGTATGTTATCAAAATTCTTCACTCCTAGATGATGGCCACAAGTTTCGACGGAAACCAGATAAGCAACTAAAAGACTCATTGATAAGCAAAGACTGCTACTAGCCAAACATACAAGATTACCATTATTATTATCATCATCATCATCATTAGTATTATTAGCTGCTTTAAGACACTCCTATTACACTTATTTGGCATTTCATGCAACATGTTTGTTTTGAATCAAAACAAAAATGACAAGACGTGTAGAATAAAATCAGCGGAAACTATTTTGAGGAGTCTCTTCAGCAGCAACTGACAACACAAAATTTACACCGAATTGATGAAGCCAGAAAATATATTTCCATTCAACAGGAGGATTTGTCGAAACAGGAAAAAGGTAAATAATGATAGTACAAATCCAAATAACAAGAACAAACCATCAATTTATACATAGTTAAGACTCAAGCATGCAGAATAACCACTGATGACTACTATGCTACTTAGGAAGATTAGTAAAAACAGAAGACTGAGCGAAGATTATTGATTTTATATGTAGAACAATGTTTCACCTTATCGGTCAAACTAGTGTCACCAGACCAACGACAGTCACACAAATAACAAACTCTCTATCTTACCATAGGTATCAACTTAAAACCATCTGGTACTCATCGCCTTAGCAAGGTGAAGTAAGATTGAACCTCTCCGCAGTTTGTGTATTCATCCCATACACTGAATCTATTACAGGTGGAGAAACTGAAGTGTAAATGATGAAGATTCTCTCAATCGAAATGTCTCCCGAATGCCTTCAAAAAATCAGATAAAAGCCCATCTTTCTGTTGTTTCAATATACCTGCTTCACTTGACAAGCACATTTGAAATAATTCAGTCAATATCAATGTGGAACCCCATACTACTACTACTGCATGACGGTTCACACTTGCCACACTTCACATCACAACATCAAGGTAGGAGGCACAGAAATTGAAGACATACGAATACGGAAAGGATTAGTCAAAAATAGTGGACACTAAAAACAAGAGTAGAAGTACAGCATAGTAATGATGAAATGCAATATGATGATAAGGGTGAAGATAATGTGTTGATGTACATGCACCGCTTAGATCGATTCTAAACTGTAACACCTAGCGTAAACGTACGTCAGCACCAACTTTTGAAGTCAGTGCTGATGACGTTATCTAGAATTACAATGAAAGCTCCACGAATAAATCATTCAGATTAGAGAGCACACAACACCATCGGAAGCAAACGTACTTCAGTTAACATTAGGCGACAGGGAACACGGTGACTAACCATACAACACGTGTCCCAGGCACCTTAGTGTCAGTGAGGGTTCACAACCTAGACAAACGATCTCCTTATTTTACCTAAAATTCTATACATGACTTATTTGGTGTGATTCTTCATGATATGGTCAGTCTTACGCTCCAACGCTGGTTGAACAGATATTCTCATATCCGCTAACGTCACGTCACGTTTTGTAGCTATGTAGTTGGATGAAGTGAACTGCTATGTAGTACAGTCCAAGGAAGTCTTTTGTACTGTGAAGAGATTTCCCCCAGTGTTGATCCATCAAGGGTGGGTAATCCAACTTCCGAATTACGAGAACTGGTGGTTAATGCGGTCCAACCAATTCACTTCCTATTATTAAACGAGACAAAAAAGAGACCACTTCTGAAGCAACAGTTCGCTGCACTGAACAGTAATTCAACTAAATTTCACTTGTCCTTCATTGCAAAGAAACTGTTCGAATGTAAACACTATTTCCTTTACATTTTCGTGAGATAAGTGTTTCTCTTCATTTTGCTTTAATATCTCCTTCCAACGGATACATTCAGAAAAACAGAACCGGTTGTCATCCCCAGATGTCATCGAGTAGTTTATACATTACCATGTATGTTTTCAAAGTGAGATAAACAGAAAGATGAACCTTTTACAAACATTTGAAGAAAGTGAAAAAGAGAATGACTGAAAACGAATTTACTTCAAGTTATCAAAAAGATACACTTCACATACTATATATTATCACGAAGTTATAGAAAAAAAAGTAACCAAACAATTAATTTTTCTCTCAAAAAAGAATAAAAAACTATTCAAAAATACATACTTTCCTTTACTTTGTACCGCTCAGCTAGTTTTTGGAGGCGCTTGGTACGACGATTTTTCGCATTTCTTAATATCTGCTCATTATTATTATTATTATTATTGTTATTATTGTGATAGCGTTTCAGACGATTGAGGAATTTTTGACGTCTACTAACTTCACTCGGACTAGGTAAAACTGCGATTCCAACAGGCTTTTGGTATACTAAACCATGTTCATCTTCATCAGGAGAATATATAATGACTTTATTCTTATCATGCATTGCTGGGACTCGTAGTCTTTTACTTCGCCGTAAATGACCACCACTTTGAATGTAACTGGTAGACATAGGTCTTTCACTTTCTAAAAGAGATCAAAGTAAATACAAATAGTGGGACATTTATATTCAGAAGGAATCCATAAATATCAAAAGTGAATTACACAAGTATTTTTGTTCAAACCTTTAAAAGCAATAAGCTACCCAATTTATCTACCTTCATCGTACTAAATCAGCAAAAAGTCTTCCTTCGCCAATGTTTCCTCCTCACTACCACTCCTTAGCACACTGCATTCGCAATCTTGCACGAATCTCTCAAAGATTCAGATTCATAACACAGGTTTCCGACTAAATTCATGAACTTTACCTAAAACTGTTCACCAGATGGTGAGTGACATAACTTCAAAGTGCTAAACCCTCAACATTCTGATAGAAGTCTATCAGAAAGAAGTTTGTAATATAACCGACCAGATAGCTAATCTAAATGCCCATTTTCTACCTGTTAAGTTAACGATTCTTATACAAAACACGCTAGTGGATTTCTTCCTTCTGAAAAACATCTCCTTCCACTCTAGCAACATAAACATTCATGTAGAAACGAGAGAATATCTATCCAGAGAGATCAAAGTGGGAGACTAAGCTTTTAACTGCAAAGCCTCCATCATTTATCGTGTACTACCGATCAAGTTATGAACATAATGGTGTCAGAAATTAGTTGCCTTTGATAACAAATTTTCACAGGGAAACTGCAGAATATTAATTTGATGGATAGGGAGTTGGAATTTAAGCTACATTCCCTTCAGAAATGAACTTCCAATCGAGCCGTAGTCATTTCATTAGGTCTAAAAAAACTTAACAGAACAAATTAATAAAAGCATATTAAAACAGCCTTCAGTTAGCAGATATTCAGTCATTCACATTTTGAGATTAATAACTATAATTGAAGTCAGCAATTCAAACATATGCAAGTCAAATAAAGCTGTTAAATCATTATTCATGTAACAATGTCATATATTCATATATTTCTTGCAACACCCCGGGTGAAGGACTAGAACCAATGACTTTATACTCCTACGGATAACGAACAAATTAAACTGTACCTTATCTAGCACGCATCTTAAGTGAAGCGGAAGAAATATTACACAATTTTTGGTCATATATGTACTTTCCGATTGATTGTTAGACTGAACTGAAGTGATCAATCATTGTTGGCCAAGTATCTCCTATGTCGATGCCTTGATATGGCCTGAAGATCATTTGTAATACAAATTGATTGGTGCTGGGTCCGAGTCTAAGTGGGGACACCACCAACTGGGATGCAGGGACACCCAGCTGACAAGACCGAATGGGTTAGAACGCGTGTCCTAAATTCCACCACTAGCCACTACCAACCGAATTACATCAAAACTAATTTTCAGGCAATACTAAGACATCCTAATATGAGTCCATATGACAACACACATGGACTGATTCGGTGCAATTGAACAATCAATGACAAAGCAGGAGTATTAACAAGTAAAACTTGATGTCCGTTGCATAAGATATGGCTGTCGTGAGTACGGTCACCCAGTGTATAACGCTCTGGAGTTTGAAGTCCTGGTAAGAAATACCATTACTCACTGGAATCGAAGTACATTCCACTGATGAGTGCCAAACAAAACGAATGGCGCATTCTAGATTCTACTGTTAGTCACCACCAACCAAATTTTACTGGGCTTAATCTTTACTATAATATTTTATAGTGAGAATTCCAAACTGTATCAAAAATATTCTCAAGGATAAAAATGTTACTATCAATAACACCCACCTTAGGGTGATTATTATTAGCAACATATCACTCTGTGGTAAACTTTCACCTTGTAGAGAAATGAAAGCAAATACTTATCGACTGCCTTCAAGTGGAACAATTACCAATTTATTACAGCTATAGTCATCAGTGCAAACCAATAGATGAAGACTTCTACCGTATCTACATAATATATTGGCCCTTGGGAATCAGTCACGTTTATAAACCAACTAAGCCCTTTTTATCCAGTGTTATGTATATCGAGAAGCGCCAAAAATAACGGCGAACAAATCAAGTCATGTATACACGATTTAGAAAACTGGAATGGAAAAAAATGCTGAGTAAAACGATGAACTTCTCAGTCTTTATCTTTGTAAACAACAGTCTGCTACTAAGTATTACAATATATCCATCTTATATTATAATATATGGTTGATAACCATGGATATCAATGTCACAAAATGTGAAAGTCATCACGAGAGGAAAGATAGTCATTAACAGAAACTATTCAAAGACATGACACTCAAACTGTCCAACAATTATCAGGTATATAAAGACGAATATGGAGAAAACAATAACCGACTAACTGAATGGTATAAATTGGTAATCGAATGGGGTACGCCATGGAAGCCCAACTCTCGGTGCAACAGATAATGAAGAAGACGGTAAAGAACGCAAGTAAGATGACTGGGCCTTTGAACATCTATCTGATTCTTCAGCTGACTCAATATTTTCCTTGTTCTCATCACTAGTCTACAATTTAATGAAGAATATGAAGAAATATAAAAATTAACTGTTTATCAAGACATACTAATAAATCCAAGTTAGGTCTGGAGATTTTCCTTTGTAGTGTTCAGCAAAAAAATGTCTCATATCTCAGGATTTCCATAGCATGAAGGTGAACATAAATCATTCAACAGTAAACTGATTAGGAGTTCGTGTTACAATCATACTTGGTGATTAGTCACCAAAAGTAAAATAAGCCAAGAATGCTAAAGCTGACATCAGGATATACTGATAGCTTTTTTTTAGAGGAGTCTACGAAAGACCAAAGTTAGAGGGATGATTACTAAAGAAGAAATTATAGAAATTATAGTTGTTGCTGACGTCCTCGAAGAACTGGAGCCTGGTAATTTGAATCCGATTTAATCTGTGGCATACACAGCAAAAACGTTCACAAAATCCTTCTTTGATTTTCTAAACACGCTGGGATTATTACCATTTGTTGATATACTTGTAATTCTCCGTTGTTATACTATATCGGATAGTTCGACCTCTATTGGTATATGAGCTCCTATGCGGATGCCCGCATACTGCCTCAATATTTATCATTATGATTTACTTGGTAGTGGCTAGCAGAGGAATCCAGAGAGCACGTTTCATCCTATTTGGCCACTGAAGCACGATAGCCACCTTTTGTACAACGAGTGTGAGTTATTACCATTTGTTGACATATTTCTAATTCTCCATTGTGGTTACCGTGCCTCAGTGACATAGTGAGCAACGCTTTGGCATTTGAAACGATGGGTACAATATTCTTAGTAGGAACAATATCACTCACTGGGTGAGGTGAAGGCATAGCCGACTGACGAGTCTCAGAAAGAACGAAATGCGCGTCCTGGATTCTTCTGCTAACCAAAACCAAGTGAACGCTGGGATTATGTTAAAACGTACTTATATTATAAAGAGGATACTGTTGATTGGATAAATCATTTTGTTACAAATCTCTCGTTTTCCTTTGACGAAACAACGGTTATATCCTTTGACATCCACTTGCCATCCTGAACTTTATCATGCTACCATCTTACGTGTACTTTAACACACATTTTCTATCGTTTTTCAATCACTGGAATAAAAATAGATTGCCAAATCTTTTCTCTTGATCTAATTCACACCGCGGTTCCATATTCAAGTATATGTGATGATTCGTTTATTTATGTCAACCTCTGGAATTACTAGCCCAAAAGTCAAGGCTTGGAAATATCTTATGATTGTGGTTATCTGCTTACTATACCTTTTTGTAGCATCTTATTCATCGCGGACACAATAGTGATTCTGGTTTTTAGTATATTTTATACTAGCATTTCACTATACTGCATTTAGTTTATCACTTTTGTTACATGATACATATTTTGTATCTAATCTGCACAACTTCAAATTATAGGTGTGACGATTGAATACAAAATATAAAACATTGGCCATGACAAGATTTCAACCAACCAGATCCTACCTAGTTAGCTTTAGCCCATGAACAGTTGAGAAAATGTCACTAAATAGAAATATCGTGGACTGTATAGTCTCTAATTATGCTTGCATCTCACAAGTGTAATGTGAAATTGTCCGAAGGTCAGACTATACGACGCCACACACTTTGCATACTTGGTCCCAAAAGACTAACTGTAAGGCTACCAAAAAAGTTTAAATCCTCCCCTGTATTTTCATAAGTAACAGCAACTCGGATGAACATATAGTCCAATCATCGTGCAGAAGAAACTGTTTCAATGCATTAATTGTAAACGATGCGGTTACCTAAACTCTATCTAGTCAAATGGTAGGTGGTTAAGTTATTCATCACCCTGAAGATATAAATTTTTTCAGATGTTTCTCACTTGACAATCGCTCGAACTGATGCAATTATTTGTAAATGAGAACACAGAAATAATATAAGCGTAAAACTTGAGCACTCTGCTAGAATGTAATTCCATGTTAGATTTGTTTATTTGATATGGCACACAGTGTGGTACAGTATTATTTACTTAAATAATAATGTAAATAATACTGTATCACTGTGTGCAATATGAAGTAATCCAATAGCTGGGAGACAGATATTTCAATTTTGAGGTTTTTATGGGGATTTATTGACTTCAGGTTGATATTATTCATCATGGACTGAATCAATTAGAGAACTGTTGGGAACCTGGAAACATTAGACAGCTGCTTTATCCTAGTATGGGATTCTTCAGTAAGAATTATGAACCATTGAGTCCCGACCCAGTAGCTCAATGGTAAAATGCTGGCCGTGGAACCTAAAAGTCATGGGTTCGATCTCTGGCAGTCACGGGTGCGCCCTGCAGAAGAGCCTTATACTGGGACGAAACACATCCAATACTTTCAGGTTTCCAATGGTTCTCCAACTGATGTCAGCCAATGATGAACAATATACACCTGAAGATATATATTTGTTCAAATATTTCTCAGCTGGCAATGGCTCGAATTATTGGTAAATAAGAAATAAATCAGTTTAATAGTTTTTCAATCTCATAATTCAAGGAAAAACTATAAAAATTCTGCAGGAAACCTATAAGAATCCATAAATGTAATTCGTTTAACTGGTGAAGATAGAAGGATTTTCCAAAAAGTAAATCATTTACTTCTGATAATTCCTCTTGGTAAAATGATTTTTCTAACGCCTCACTGTCCAAAGAACTGTTGTTAATGTCATCGTCACCAATCAAACGCACAGATACTCTGGATTCATTATTCACTGAATTATAAATGTACTCTGTAAATTGAGAAAAACAACAAAGAAACAGACGATAATTTATTGCTAGATCATAAAGATAGTTTATTCAATTAACAATGAGATAAAAGTATAGGAAAACGGAATAAAAGTGAACATAAAAAGCTTGGACCAGATATTTGTGCGAAACGTTGCAATTGTGTTATTCCGAAGACAAAGTAAACTACCCAAATATTAGCTATTTCTAATGTCAACTGTTTACTCGGCAACAAATATTTGTCATACTGTTTCAGTCAAATCTTGATCACAGTTTGCATAAATACATAATATAGTTAGTGATTAACTGACGAACAAAATAGTACCCGAGACTGATACATAGGTCTAAGCTGATATTTTGAAAAGTGTATACCGAAGAAAAAACCCTGCAATGTTGATTCTTTTGATAAAATTGGTTAGTTGACCAATAACCTTTATATTACGTTCGTTTAACTACTTGCCACCTAAAGATCAGACTGGCATTATTTCATACTGATCACATTTTTATAAGGTAAGCCAATGGTAGTCGGGCGAAACCCATGATAAGGTGAAGTGAAATGAAAATCTGGTCAGTAGTCGGACCTTGTAGCTCAGTTGGCAGAGCATCAGGCCGGAAACCAGGTGGTAGCTGGTTGGAATCCAGTCGTGATCTAAATTTTTTATTTCACTTTAAATCACCACTCAGTATAAACCAATGCATTCCTTTCATCAATGATTTCAACCAAAGTCATTATTTCTGTCTTTTTACATTCATTAAAGTTGAGTCTTGAAATGATGGTTAACCATCCGCCAGCAGTGAGACAACAGTATCTAGTCTTAAGCTAAGCCAACAGTCTGACCAAATAGTTATCTGTTGCGTAATTCACCAGACAATCTCATTTCAGCATTTTTAATCCAGGCAAAAGTTGAAGTTGCTACAATACTCGACCTAAAAAAAAGCCTAATCGTTAATTGTGAACAAGACAAAACAAATTCACAAACTAATAGTAAACCTCAGACTCTTTATTACAAACATGTATCCCATATTTACTCAATGATTCGTGAGTGATTAATAAACTTCATTCAATTGGTACAGTAATAAACAAAGACATTCGATGCTTCTAGGTAAAATTCATAGAAGACTATGTATAGCTTATAAATCCATGGAAATGAGGAATTGTTCAAAATGAAAGAAGGAAAAATACACTGAAAATAAGAATCAGTTCATTGCTGGCTAAAACCTCCAGCCTAGTCATAATCGTGGTAACAACCAGAAAAACACGGAAAAATAATTCAGAAGATTGAGCATTTATTTCTAGATAATATAAAAACTGTCAATGCCTTAAAACGGTTACACTGAAAATGAAAAAACAAAACAAAAACAAACATAGTAAGATCTACCGAATAGAAAGCTTAAAACACAGTGAATTTTTTAAGATTTTGAGTAACTTACCAACCATAGGAGCAAACGCTACGCTTCGTCGACTTTTCGATGGTACAGGTATACTATATATAGTGCTAGAAGAAACCTATGAGAAACACGAAACAAAACACAAAGATATTCAAACAATTCATTTGAAATATACGAAAGTTAAGACAATATAAAAGAGAAGAAAATTACCTGTAGTCTGTCTTGAGATACACTCATTATGTGTATACCTGTAGAAAATAAATAAATAAATTGTAAATTCAAAATGGTGATCATTATATAATGCAAATCATAAAACTGTAATTCATTTAAAATGTATCAGAGGGATAGAATTTTGATTTCAGATGGGTTAATTACAAGATAATGTTTATCTATGTGAACAATATGTGACGTGTTTGTACAATAGATTTTGAAAAATTACATCACACACTTACTTATCAAGTCAATTCACTTATTTAAAAGGGAAAAATAGAAAAAAACTAGGACTAAAATTAAGAAAGAAGATTATAAAAAGGAAGAATGACATAATTGTACTATTATTCATACCATGAAAAGGATACACAATTAATTTTGTTGAAAACAACAAAAGTATGGAAATGCAAAGAGTAAGGTTAAGATAACCGATGATATTTCCTATAGGATTCTAGGTTATGATCCGAAGTCGATCGATGAAGTGTTCATACATCAAATTTTTTTTTCTCACCTTCATTTTACGTTTAGTAGAGATATTGATAACGAAGCTATCAATATGATTATAAATAGTGCGTTATTTTATCCATTACTGATTACTATGGTCATAAATAATTGAAGGATACTGAAGATATTTGAACTATGCTGATTTCAGAACTACAATAAGCTAGTTCCATTTTTATGTATTTCATCATATTGAATAAATGTAATGTACTCACCACTTTTGTTATTTCTCTTCATATCATCATCATCATCATTTGAATTCAGAAGAGTATCTTTGATGCTTTCACTTAACGGTTTGATCAAAGGAATAGTGGTATGAGTAACATTAGTACATGATTCTTGTCCATGACTCGAACCATGTGAAAATAAATGTTGACTAAGCTAAAAGGAAAAAAAAATGATTTGGGTTTTAAATTCTACTAGATTATATATCCTAAACGGTGATTATACCCTGCTATCTGGGTTTAAAATAGAGAAAATTTATTGAAGAGAAGAATTACACTAATCAAGTGTGACACATACAAAGTAGTGGTGTGGGCTGAATGAAAAGATCTATGAGCAAGTAACAAGTAAAGATAAAGTAATATTTGCAAATCAATGATTTTTTATTATTATTATTAGTCCCTTGGGTTCCGAGTGGAACATAGGGCTTCAGTAGCACGCCTCCAGTGACCTCTGTTCTCTGAGATCTTTTGAACCTGGTTCCACGACAGCCCAGAAGCTCTCATTTCCTCCTCGCATGACCTCCTCCATGTCACCCTCGGACGTCCAACTCGTCGCTTCCCATAGGGATTCCACTCGAGGGCCTGACGCGTGATGTCCTCAGTCGGCCTTCTCAGTGCATGCCCAATCCATCTCCACTTCTTCCTGCATATTTGTTGCGTGATAGGTTCTTGGTTGCTTCGTTCCCAGAGTTCCTTGTTGCTTATTTTTTCTGGCCATCTGATCTTCAGCAACGAGCGTAAGCAGTTGTTGATGAATGTCTGTAGTTTATTGGAAATACCTTTCGTGGCGCGCCAAGTCTCTGAGCCATACAAGAGCACTGACTTGACGTTGGTGTTGAAAATCCGTATCTTGTTCCGCATGCTGAGTGCAGAAGATCTCCACACTGGTTTCAGGCTAATGAACGCCTGTCTTGCTTTTCCGATTCTGACTTTGACGTCCTCGTCCGTCCCGCCTGTAGTTGAAACAGTGCTTCCTAGATAAGTGAAGGAGGTTACTTCCTTCAAGTTTCTCCCGTTGACGGTGATTGGAGTTTGTTGTTGTTGTTGATGGTGGTGGTGCGGTATCTTCATCACTTCTGTCTTCTCTATATTCACCTGAAGTCCCGTCTTAGCTGCCTCTTCTGTCAACTTGTTAGTTTTTGCCTGCAGATCTTCAAGTTTATGTGACATTAGGCACAAGTCATCGGCGAAATCCAAGTCTTCTAGGTTCTTTTCCGTCGTCCAGTGTATCCCCCTCTTCTCGCTGCCTACTGTTTGCTGCATGATCCAGTCCACCACAATAAGGAATATCATGGGGGATAGTAGGCAACCTTGTTTCACTCCTGTCTTCACTTCAAAGGCATCACTGAGCTTCCCATTGTGGATTACTTGGCATGTGGCATCTTCATATAGTTGTTGAATGAGGCGGATAAAGGTTTGCGGTACTCCGTAGTATTGAAGCAGTTTCCAAATTACTTCTCGGTCGACGCTGTCAAAGGCCTTCTCAAAGTCGATGAAGTTGAGGTATAGAGCTGATTGCCATTCTACGCTCTGTTCTATGATGATACGAAGCGTTGCAATTTGGTCAGCACATGATTTGTACTTCCTGAAGCCTGCCTGTTCCGGTCGCAGTTTTGAATCCAGTGCGTCTTTAAGCCTCTCCAGGATGATGCGGCTTAATATTTTACTTGGGGTGGACAGGAGAGTGATTCCGCGCCAGTTCTTGCAAGCACTGAGGTCTCCCTTCTTCGGCAGTTTGACAAGGTAACCCTTCTTCCAATCGTCAGGTACCTTCTCTTCCTTCCACACCTTCTGCAATAGTGGTGTGAGCATGTCCGCTGTTGTCTCTGCATCTGTTCTCAGTGCTTCTGGCGGTATTCCATCTGGTCCTGCTGCTTTCCCACCTTTCAGTAGCTTTATGGCGTTCAGGACTTCCATTTTCGTTGGGGGATTTATGTTCACTTGTAATTCAGCGGCTGCAGGTGGTATTTCTGGACGAAGTGCAGGTGGTGGTCGATTCAAGAGCTTCTTGAAGTGGTCGGCCCATCGTTTCCTCTGTTTCTCTTCTTTTGTAATTAAATTTCCTTCTTCATCTTTTATTGGTTTCATCTGTGTTGGTCTCTTCCCTGATAGCAACCTGGTTATTTGATACAATGTCGTCAGGTCTCTCTTACCTGCAGCCTGTTCTGCTTCACTTGCCAGTGTGTCGTAGAAGTGTCTTTTGTCTTTGCGTGCACTCTTCTTCACTTCTTTGTCCAGTGTTTTATACATTGTGCTCAGTTCCTCTTGTCGTTGAGCATCCTTGCACTGGTTTATCTTCTGCTTCACCATCCTCCTCTCCTCTATCAGCTTCCAGGTATCCGTCGAGATCCATTCCTTGTCTTCTTTCTTCTTCCTTCCTAATACGGCTGTGCAGGTTTCTTTCCACACAGCTTTCAAAGACTTCCAGTGTTCTTCCACACAGGTTTCTTCAGGGATGTCCCTCGACGTCTCCCATTTTGTCTTGATGGCTGCTTTGAAGATCTCCTTTGTAGTTTCATCCTTCAGTTTCCGAGTGTTGTACTTGAATTGAGGTCTATCACCAGCTTCCTTGAAGGCTTTTAACTTGATTTGGAAGGTTCCTTGCACTAGATAGTGGTCTGAACCTACATCTGCTCCTCTTCTTGACCTTGTGTTAAGTAGACTGCGTCTCCATTTTCTTGAGATTGAGATAAAGTCGATTTGATTTTTAGTGTGTCCATCTGGTGAAGTCCATGTCGCTTTGTGGATATCCTTGTGCCTGAACACACTGCCTCCAATCACCAAATCGTTGAATGCACAGAATTCTGCAAACAATTCTCCATTCTCATTCATTTCACCTAGCGCCTCTCGACCCATGGTTAGTTCTCTTCCCGTATTGTCCCCTCCCAGTTTGGCATTCATGTCGCCCATTAGAATTTTGATATCGCCAACTGACGTCTTGTCCAGTGTTGATTGAAGTTGTCTGTAGAAATCCTCCTTTTTCTCTTGCTCTGCATTATTTGTAGGTGCATAACATTGTATGATTGTGACCTTTCTTCCTTTTGAGTTGAACCTTGCTGTCATGATCCTGGAGGAGATTGGTTCCCACTGCATGAGAGCCTTCGATGCTCTTGAGGACATCATGATAGCCACTCCCTCAGTGTGCTCGTGGTTGGCGTCTGGGTGACCGGAGTAGATTATTGATTCTCCAGTTGACAGTTTGGAGAGTCCACTCCCATTCCATCTGCTTTCGCAAATCCCAAGCACTTCGATGTTATACCTTCTCATCTCCTTTGCAATCTGGGCTGCCTTACTGGGTTCAAACATCGTGCGGACATTCCATGTCCCCACGTTTACTTTCGCTTTCATCGAGAGAAGACACATCGGCCAATTGGCTTCCCGAAGGCTTTCACCAACTGGCGTCATTTCGCCTCTCCGATTCCAGCGGGGTATAAGTTTGTTTTCATTTTTTATATTTTGTTTGTGCTTTGAAGTTTCTTTAGCGGTTAGATTTGTTTTACGGGGTAGGGTAATCACAGTTAATCACAGTTAACTCCGAGTAGTCATCTAAATGTTCCAATAACAACAAAATCAGTAATAATCTCATTCATGTTTTCATCATATTATGCCAGCTAAAGGTTAAGTGTAATTTTACACCTATCTTTTGTCTTACAGATGCTTATTTACAAACCATTTTTACATATCTCATTCATTTTACAACAAACTTTCTATATCCAAAAGTGAAAAAAAATTACTTCAGTCTTTGACTTTACCACAACAAATTACATTATCTCTTGGATAGCACAAAATTCCATACACTTCAAAATGTGATGCGTGTTGAATATAGCTTACGTTTATAAGTTATACCATATGTGAACTGGAATTCAGATTCACTAGTTTCTATTACCAGGTATACCAATTTTCGTTGCTTTCTACGTTTAATCCGATAGACTATCTAACTATTATGGAATAATTAAAAGTATCACATTGGGCATAGAAAAAGGTTAACTGAACAACTACCACCTTCAATTTATACAATTCTTAATTCACCTCCAGTAATAGTAACAATTTAAGGTTGCCTACTATCCCCCATGATATTACTGATTGTGGTGAACTGGATCATGCAGCAAACAGTGGGGAGCGAGAAGAGGGGGTTACGCTGGATGGCTGGACTGCGGAAAAGAACCTAGAAGATCTGGATTTCCCGGATGACTTGTGCCTGATGTCACACAAACTTGAAGATCTACAGGCGAAAACTAACAAGTTGGCAGAAGAGGCAGCGAAGACGGGACTTCAGGTGAATATAGAGGAGACAGAAGTGATGAAGATACCTAACCAACAACACCAACACCAACAACAAACTCCAATCACCATCAACGGGAGAAACTTAAAGGAAGTAACCTCCTCCACCTATCTAGGAAACACTGTTTAAACTACAGGTGGCACAGACGAGGATGTCAAAGTCAGAATCGGAAAAAAAAGACAGGCGTTCATTAGTCTGAAACCAGTGTGGAGATTGTCTGCACTCAGCATATGGAACAACATCCGGATTTTCAACACCAACGTCAAGTCAGTGCTTCTGTATGGTTCAGAGACTTGGCACATTACGAAAGGGATTTCCAACAAACTACAGACATTCATCAACAACTGCCCACGCTGTCTCGTTACTGAAGATCAGATGGTCAGAAAGAATAAGCAACAAATAGCTCTGGGAACGAACCAACCAAGAACCTATCACCCAACAAATATGCAGAAGGAAGTGGAGATAGATTGGGCAAACACTGAGAAAGCCGACTGGGGACATCACGTGTCAGGCCAGTTGCTCGAGTGGAATCCCCATGGGAAGCGACGAGTTGGACGCCCGAGGGTGACATGGAGGAGATCGTGCGAGGAGGGAATGAGAGCTTCTGGGCTGTTGTGGACCCAGGTTCAAAAGATTTCGGAGGACAGAGTTCACTGGAGACTTGTTAGTGAAGCCCTATGTTCCATTAGGAACCCAAGGGACTAATAATCATATAATAATAGTAACAATTTAAGCTTGCCTTCGAAGAAACACTAATATTGTAACATGAAATTCCAAATATACTTCCATGCTTCATTTTACACAATGTAGTATATTTTATCAACTGGTCTAAAAATAGTTCCCACTTTCAATAAGTTACCTCCTAACGGTTACATCACTATTTCATCCATAATGATAAGATCAATCACCAATAAACAACATCATTGACTTGCTTGTGACTAGCAGTGGAACTCAGGATACGTGATTCGTCCTATTTGGGACTCATCAGCTGAGTGTGCTTGCACCCCACCCCACCTCAGTGAGTGATGTTTTTCCCACTGACACTCGCAAACTCTGCACCAATCGCTTCCACAAACTCCCACAACTCAATTGTAACAATAAATGTTCAGGTAATATCTAGGCATTCACATAGGAGCCAATATGCCAACAGAAATCAATCAATTCCATACAGTATAACAACAAACGATTACAAGTATCAACAAACAATAATAATCATAGGAATAAACAATACAGTCCATAAACGTGTGTGCAAACCAGCATAAACCTTGTTGAAAAGTCATACAACCTCAGGTTCTCAATCATCAGTAAAATCCGAACACCATCTTCGACATTAGAAGTATAAATTATTCAAGATGAAATCAACGAAAATATTCCACACTCAAATATACCTCCTTTTAGGAATATTACACTGGATACCCTCGTTAGATAAGACAGGTTTTTTTTTATTTCTTTGTTACTGGCTAATGTCAACCAATAAAGTAAGACAGATGAAACAAATTCACGATGATCAACAGAATTATAACACCAACTTCTCCGTCATGAAAGAAGACAAACGTAAATTTTCGTCATTGCAAGATTATGACAAGAAATTAATCAACAACATTGTCAAAGTATTCCAATGAAGTAAGATAAACATTAAACTTAATTTATCAAGAAAAACGGTGTAAAATAATTGGCAATTAAAGCAGGTAATTTAAAAAGTTACAAAATTCATCAATAACCAACCTCATCCCTTAAAGCTTGAGAATCTTTCAAATAGTAATCATCCTCCTCCAACTGGTTCACTAGTCGAAAGGAAGACAATAAATAGTTTTGATAAAACGAATTTCAAAAATCCTTATATATACATAAGCTGATATTAGAATACTCGCTAATCCACGTTGTAAAACAGATACAGAATAATATACCCATCATATTATACGTACGCTTCATGGGTAACTATTTGCGTTGTATCGTTGCATTGTGCATAGAGGTGTGAGTGGATAGATGATCGCCACAGTCTGGTTTTTTATGTTATATGCTATATGACTGTGTGATTTTCTTTGTTAGATGGTACTGAAGGTTGTACACTGAAGAATGCATTTCCCTTTTACAGCCTTGGATACGCTATTTTGTTCATGAGGTGATTTAACCGTATATGAGCTTTTAGCATTGTAGATGACGGGGGGAAGAAGGTACAGGAGAAAGACAAAGGAAGAGGAAGGGATGTTGCATATTGGTGGTAAGTGCCGCGTCGCCTTTGTGTGTAGGCATTTTAGTTTTAAGTTTATGGGGATTCTATTTATTCCAAGGTAGTATTTGTTACAGACTGACATCAGTTTGGAGAACCATTGAGAACCAGGGAGTCCCGCTGTTTTTCAAAATGACTTCAGTTCGTGATGAATGCTACCTTGAAATAAATAAAAACCTTATAAACTTCAAAATAAATTACTAAGTAGTGATATGCTTCGACACGGATATCCAAAAGTTCTAATGAGAAGCGGTTATCTGTGGGGTTGGAAGTGAAGCGGATGTTAACTGAAGACCTTGATGGATAGCTGCGCTATATCACCAAATGATAGAAGTAGGAAGCTGTGGATCACTGAACTCTGATCCGCTGACTGGATGATTAACGTGTTTGCTGTGAAACATGAAGGCCATGAGCTCCATCCCTGGCGGGTTTGTTAGTGCGTACGCTTGAGGAGTCCTATGCCAGGATGAACAACTCGTTAAGAGCTCTCAGGTTTTCAATACTTATTCAGTTCGTGAGGAATACTATATCGGAAAAGTAGACATCACATGACAATTAAGCGTGATAACTACAGTGAATAAAAACTCAGGAAACAGCTTGACAATCACCTTCAAAAAGCAACTTACGTGATGCCAAGGCAGCAGTCTTGTCTTGTTCCCCTAGAAGACGTCGTTTTTTACCGGTTGAACACTGAAAGTACACAACATGACATATGCTAGTTAACAAAAATATATGCAGTGGTAATATTTCATGAACAACGAATTGAAATCAAACACTTCCACCTTGCAAAACAAGGAGAGGATTTTTATGATAAAGGTAACACTACCGACTACTACAACGAATACCTCAAAGCAAATATACATTGCATACAACACTGAGACACGACAACTGGATCCATTCAAAATATAAAGTGATCATGAAAATGAGTTAAAGTTCCTGTGGCAAACTCATTAATTGCAATCGCTCGAATAGCTATATGACAACGAAATCTAACCAAATGATACTTATGGATAGATTTCTGAATGTGGATGGCCCACAGAATGCAAGTCCTTAAACATGAGAGCTCAGTTGGAATGCAGAATATTTCTAACAGAAACCATGGACACTAAAATCAATGTTTATAGTTTCTCGTAAAAAATATCATAACACTTATGAAAAATACTAGTGGATAGTGAGTAACTGGGAATAAAGATACTCATCAAATATATATCTCACTATTCAGATCATAGCAAGAGAACATTTAAATTATCTTGCTAGAGCGACAGGAACAGTCAAAGAACCTCGGTAAGTCAATATCAACGCACGCTCTATCATCATCGCTTAACTACACAAGATACCACAAGAAATCAAAGCAAAAGATATCAAAAAGATGAAAAACAAAAGCGAAAGGAAATTATCAAAGGCAGAAGAAAGACGCGACAAGAGAGGAAGGATAGAGGAACAATAACCGAAAGGAAGTAGACAACTTGGATAGACACTGTTCAATGTATACAAACTACTTGATGTCATACCATAGACTCTAACATGCCCACGATTGTTTAAATACAAAACCTTCAATAAAATCATGTACTTAACCGAAAAACGTTTGAGCGATGGACAATACAATACAGTTTTCAGAGCACAAATATTTGGTCGATATAGCACAACCACGTATGAAACCTATCTGGTCTCCTCGGGTTTGCTGTACTCCAGATTTACTTAGGTATCTGATGCTTACAGAGCCTATAATCTCAAACAATATTTTTGCACGACTAATTTCACTGCCATCATCACAGGAGGATTTCTCAACTTCCTGGGAAACTAAAACTATTAATGATTGAGACCAGTGAGGAGGGATCATATCTGACATCTTCACGATAGTAACACTTTGGCCAATCTAACCAATAACTCTGCTACTAGTTGATCTAGCTTTGCTACATTTCCTCGTCTCACTTAACTTACAGCCTTCTCAGTTTCTGAAGGAGTTGGGGAGACTATCCCACTGTTCCATTAACGATTTGACGAGATAGTGGGGAAAGGGAATGATAGCTGGAGAATAGTTGATCCGTCTTTACTGTCACGAACCTATGCCTCTCAACATTAGTCTTAATAATCATTAACTTTGTGTTATATCTTTGGGTTAACCCTGCCACCACTGTTATATCTTTGGCTAGAGTGGTTGAAAGAGATGTCTGGGGCTACTGGCTTTCCACCAGCTAACTCAGAGAGAAGACGAATTTAGATGTCTAGCCTACACAATATAAAATACCGTTTGTATTCAGCAAAATATATGGAAAGTGAGTGTACAAGGCCTTGAAGAGTAGGGGGGGGCTACTTAGAATGGGACAGAATGAGAACAAAAACATATATAAAGAACACTCCAAATTGATTGGCCACTACGGATACAGCACTTTGTTATCTCAGTTTGTTTGATAAGTTCACTGTTACCTATTGTCGCCGCCTATTCCATCTTCTTAGTCTTTATTTTCAATAAGATCTACAATCATTGTCTAGACTTTACATTCGTCTGCATTTCAGCTGCCTCCGCTCCCCACTAAGTTCATAGGTTGCCGAAATGCACACATGTGCATCTGACAATTAAGATGAAGCTGGTGAGATTCACAGATCTCTTCTGAGCCGCAGTCTTTAACCCTGTCTGTCTATGACAGCTGATGTCACCCTAAGCAAGCAAAGAAAACAAGCACACACACACACACTCAAGTCAACACCGTTTGATCCTGTAGTACAGTGAGACGGTAAATCTGAAAAATTATTCAAAAGCAGCAGACAGTCAAAAAATTTTCATTTGCAGGCAATAAAAATGAAATAAAGATCTGTTCGGCAATCAGACTTAGTAGCTCAGTTGGTAGAGCAGCGGGCCGGAAACCTGGTGGTCGCTGGTTCGAATCCGGCCGTAGTTCAAATTTTGATTTCACCTTCAATCATCACTCAGTATAAAACTAGTCAGCCAAAATACGGCTATCTCAGATAGTTAAAAGGACGATAAAAATGCAGTCATTACACACGCTAATATGTACTGAATAGTGAAAGGAATAATAATCTAAAACAAACAAACGTAAAAGCTCAGATGTCAAAGTACTGCACAATGCAAATAGTTGCACACCAGAGCAAATAAAAAAGTATTTAGAGCATTAAAAATTTTTGTGAGAGATTATCAACAGCTGAAAATGAAAACTACTGAAATAACCTACCTTCCCTGAAGACACTGACCGGCTAACTGACATACGACTCGTGCGAGAAACATCTAGGAGCATTAAAACATGGAGAAACAAATTTTAAGTATCGAAAACCACTTTTAATCACAATGACACTAAATCAAAAACAGGAAATACATAAAATAAACATAAGAAACTGGCTTAAATTGAAGTGAACACTTCAAGTTACCAGCCACTAACGTATAAGTGTCGGTATTTTAATTGAATTTGTATGGTCAGGAGAACACTATTAGACAATTCCATTTAACAGATGACCAGTAAGAATGAGCTAATTAACTTCTCACCTAGTGGTTTATATGTTCATGAAAACTGTGAATAAATGATGAACTTTGCCGAATAAAGTATCCCTCTTACAGTCACAGGTCAGTCCCTTTCTTCTGATATTTTCGGGGTTCAGTTAGAAATAAAGTACTGAGGAATAACAGTCACTGTTGGTATCCAGCCTAAGTGTCTCATCGCGTTAACATCGTTCGAGTATCTCTTATCATTCATCCAATCATGTCAATTGGTAACGCGTGTTGGTTGAACATCACTAAATGATCTCAAATATATTTCGAAACTTCAGCAAGTTCAAAATACAGCATCTCAACTGAACTTAATCAAAGCATTAACACAGTTATCCACTGAGTCGTTGTCAGCACCTTATTCAGATGAAGATGAAAGCATTTTTAATGCCAACAGTGAGTTAAATCATGATCCAATATCTGGCCTCATATTTAATTCATGGTTTAAACGATAAGTTTCTGAAGACATTTTTTGCGTTGAATACTCCATGTTCAACGATTATCATTACAAAAACCTGGAATTATCGAAAAGAAGAAACATATCAGTTTTATTCTGCCGAAGAATTCTAGTTGAACTGTCATTTGATGAAGCTATCAATATTCTGTCTCAGATTTTTGCTGAACACTCCGCTATTAAATATTCGATATCAATGCTTTCAGTTAGCCAAATTACTTGGTGAAGATAACGAAGCTTATGCTCGTGAAGTCAATCACTAGTGCGAAAGATTCGCAGTCAACGAAATGATATCCGATTAGCTTAAATGTTTAACTTTCAGTTGTGCTTAGAAGAACTCTGAAGGCGCCTATGTTCGGACAAGATCCCAAAATGACTTTACAAATGTTGACAACACAATGTTAACGATAAATCTTCAAGCAAGACACAGCATCAATCTCATCCTTCTCAACTGGTTTCAGCTAATGCAGTAAAATCTCCTCAGTCTTCAGCCAAATGCAAATGTCAGTCACACTCATCAGGTAAACCTCCTTTAGGTTGCTGGTATTCTGGTTCATGAGATTTTCTTGAATTCTGTTTAGTCAAAAAGCATAAATCCCGACAGTGTCATCCTTTTGGGTATAAAGAAGGTTATTGTTGTTCGAAGAAAAATACTCACATGAAGACTAAACATCTTTTCAAATGTAACTCTTCTAGCCAAGTTCAAAGAATTTTCACCACTTTAAAAGTTTATTTTGTGGAGAAAAAAAGTATAATAATCCATCTGTTAATGGCAAACCTATTCGTTCTCAGCTTGATATAGCACCCGATATAATCTTGATTTCTTGCAGCATGTGGCACAAACTTGAGTGGTCATAGATCCAGCCAACTAGACACAATGCTACGAACGCTTCGGCAGGCGTGCTAAAGCTCATTGGTGGAATAGCGTGTCATGTCCAGTTTGAAGAACGAAAATTCAGTGACGCATATTAGACCTGTTTCGTTTGTACTGCATACATAAACTGGATATCTTAAATGTTCCCCCGAATTCAATATGTTCTCATATAACATCATCTTCACATGATGTGATGAACGTAGAGAAGACAGAGGTGATGAAGATACACAACCAACAACAAGCACAAATCATCATCAGTAGGAGAAATCTAAAGGAAGTTGTCTCTTTCACCCACCTAGGCAGCATCCTTTCAACTACAGCCAGCGGTACAGATGAGAATGCCAAAGCCAGGATCACAAGGACAGCAAGATAGGCCTTCATTAATCTGAAATCAGTGTGGAGATTTACTGCACTGCAGTGCACTCAGCATGAAGAACAAGATCCGGATTTCCAACAATAATGTCGGTCGAGTCAGTGCTTCTATGTGATGGTTGAGAGAGTTGGTGCGTTACGAAAAGCATTTCCAACAAACTACAGACATTCATCAACAGCTGCCTACGCTCACTTGATACTAAAGATCAGATGACCAGAAAGAATAAGCAACAAGGAACTCTGGCTGACAACGAACCAACCAAGAACCTATTGTCCAACAAATATGTAGAAGAAAGTGAGGATGGACTGAATTGGACGTACACTGAGAAGACCATTTGGGGACGTCACGCGTCAGGACAGGCCGTTGAGTGGAACACAAATGGGAAACGACGAGTTGGGGGTCAGTGAGTGACATGGAGAAGATCGTGTGAGCGAGAAGTGAAAGTTTATGGACAGTCGTGAAGTCAGGTTGAAAGGACTGGAAAGAGAGTGAAATGGCGACGTGCTACTGAATCTTTATGTTCCACTAGGAACCCAAGAGACAAATAATAATAACCATATGATATGGGTTCGTCCCATACGTCTGATGAGCCTCTAGCAGAACACTTCGGAAGCATGCATCACTTTTTCAAGACAAGCCCAGTTGCTGTAAATCTACTTAGGCCTCTTTGTCTTTGAAGCAAAACCAGTGTTTCGTCCGAAAAGTCCAGTTTTTTTATGCTGCAATAAGTCTGGTTGACAATGCAAGCCAGAAACATTGGAGGCATTGAGTATCCTCCAACCAGTTACAGGTACTCAAGGTCTGCTGCTCCATTAGTGAGTGTTCGCAAGGCGAATGGTTGTTTATGTGCGGATTTTTCCACCGGATAAATAATGCTTTAGAAAATCATGCTTATCCACTTATTCGCCAAACTTAGTAGTAGTAAGTGCTTCTCGAAAATTGATCTTCCACATGCGTATCTTCAAACTGAAACCGAATTGAGTTCCAGAGAGTTGTTGACAATCAACACACATATAAATCTTTACCACTTTATTAGCCTACCTTTTGCTGTCAAATCAGTACCTGCATTCGTTCAGCAAATAATCATGGACACAATGCTTGCCAACCAACCTGCAGTTGTAGTCTATCTAGATTACCTCATTATCACAGCTACCAGTATATCTGATTGTTTACAAGTTTTACCATTGAGAATATATGAGTGAGCTTTATCTTAAAGACAAGTGTACATTTCTCACAAATATAGTGATATATCTTTGTTTTGTCTTTGATAAGCATGGGCGTCGACTAGATCCAAAAAATGTAAGTGCTATTCGGAACATGCCTCCATCCGATGTTGCAATTCTGCAATCTTTTCTTGATCTCATGAGCTACTACGGCGTTTTCGTTCTTACCGGAGCTCCGTCGTCTGAAAGCTCCATTAAATCATTTTTGTCCGAAAACGAGAAATGAAATTAGACTTATGAGTATCAGCGTGCATTCGACAAGCTGATCCTAATCTGGAAATCATCGTTGGTGCACATATATCTGATTATGTTATCAGTGCTATCATTTCTCATCGTTTTCTTGATGGTAAGGAGAAAGCTGTTGCACACGCATCTCGAACCCTCAATGCAACACAACGGAAATACAGTCAAATTCAAAAGGGACGATTGGCACTTATTTTTATTGTGAAGAAGCTCCATAAATTGCTACATGGCAAGTCTACCCTTTTCACTGACCACAAGCCCTCACTGTCGATCTTTGGTTCAAAGAAGGGTATTCCAGTGTATATCGGGAATCGCCTTTAAACATGGACTGTATTCTCATTGGGATATGACTGGCATAAAATACAAGTCAACTTCTGAATTCGGTCAGGTAGATGCAATATCACATCCGTTCAGCAGTCATAAATTGGAGAATGAAGACGCTGTTATTGCATCACTTTCCAACGAGGACGATGTAAGAAAACCCTCATGAGTGCAAATCACCTACTGCCAGTTACTTCAGCTCATATTGGTAACTACCCTATACGTGATCCAGTTTTGTAACAAGTCTCAAAATCTGTCCGATGTGGTGCGTCTCCGTACACTCATTTCTATGAACCATAAGTTTTGTCAACAAGGTCAGTAGCCACCTATTGTCAACGATTGCATGGTGTTTGTAGAGTGGGGGGTGGTTCCCGCTAATCTCTTTTCTCCGTCAACTTCATTTGTCTGCTTTTCGTGTTGGTAGCATGAAATCGATTGCTCGCGGTTATGCATGCTGGCCCAACATTGATGCTCAAGCATCAGTGACCTCGAGAGACAAAACTATGATCTCAGGCAGACAGATAGAATCAACGTGGGACCCTGCACACAAATGCTACACTCTACAGTAGTACACGGGAACAGTTGGACAGAAGAGTGATATCAAAATAGAAAAAATTGTGTGAGATAATCAGAAATTTGAAGGAAAACATTAGTACAAATATTCAAGCTTTAGAAGATATCAAAGGGTGAATACACCTGCCCCACGGCGACCGATTTTTACCCATGTCACCGAAAATTCTCAACCACTTATCCCTATCTTATCTCCTCGTGGACCCCAGCCAAGTAGTCTACATGTCTCTCACACGACTCAGATCAATAGTCAGGATCTTCATGGACTGATGACATATCTTGGTCTGGCCATTCTGAACTCTCTTCCAACCAAATCTAACTTCCGCTAAGCATGCCACGTCGATGTGCGCGGTGACCGGATGTGTGCAATGGACTTCTACTAACAAAACCATGGTGTCGGGTACACGGTAATTTTGCCAGACCATTACATGGTACAAGTTCCTTTACATGTCGTTGCATATTCCAAACAGATAGAAGTTCTACCTAGGGAGTGCATAACGTATAATACAACTGTGGTTCACTTGAGTCAACTGTTTGGTAGTTTTAGTATTCCTGACATACAGGTGGCTGAAAATGCCAACCAGTATACATCATAGTTCTCTGATTCATGAAATCAGTTTCGCATTCAATATATTCATGCTCTTCCATATCATCCTCAGTCAAATGGTCAGGCAGAACGATTTGTGGATAAATTCGAGCAAGCTTTAAGTAAGGCAAAAGAGGAAATGGACAACGAAGAAAACACTGATTAAGTTTAGCCCTCACCGTAAGCCATCTACAGAATTCATGTTAGGTTAAAAAGTGAAAAACTGTTTTTGGTGCAATTAGGCGTAAACAAACGAAACATACATAACTAAAGAAGGCCAAAGTGGAAAATCAGTCCAACCGTCACCATGAAGATAAAGGCCACCATTTTAACCAAACCAGGCAGCTTTACCACAAATCAAGGCACATAGGAAAGTGACTGGACATAAACGAAATGTAGAAGGACAGAGATGGATCAAACATGCTAACCACATAAGATCATCAGGAGCCTATCGATGCTCCAAGGCAAGTTCACCAAAAAAGAAAACCAAGAAGATCCAATAACAGAGACAAAACCACAAGTGAGATGGTGATACAGAAGGCAGACTAAATACAAATAAGTATTGTAAATAATCCGCCAATAACATACAAGTTGCGGTATTTCAAACGAACTCAAGTTACTTTATACTCAGCAGTATAACATTAGACAATCATTCCAACAGATGACCAGCAAGAAAAAGCCACTTAACTTGCAATCGAAAAGATTAAACACACGAGAAAACTGTAAACAAATGAAAAAAAAATCCGCGAAAAAAGCAACATTCCTAAAAATGAAACAACATGTAAAACGCAATGTGAGCAAGGGGGCGCGCAGAGCATACGAATAGAAACAAAATTCACCATCCCACATCAATCAAAAAGAGGACTGCGAACAACCTACAAATACACACAAAGCCAATGCCATACTCACCTTCAATCGACACCTTCCGTTCACTCGCTGACTTTCGTCGCCGTCTTCTCCATGTCAACTCCTACAATAAACAACACCAACAACATGTACGCCTACATCATCTCATCAACAAAATAAAACACAAAACAACCAACTCCAAGCAAACACAATAAATAATTTAAAAAAACTACCACAAAACAAAACAACTTACACGAACAACACCATCACCCGAATCCATCGACACCTCTGCAAATCAAAACACACATGGCCCTTCATTATTAGAATGTACCAACAAAACACAACAACATCACAAAAACAAACAACACTCATCTCCCACAACCAACAACTACTCAAAACACTCAAGACAATCAGCTCAGCCAAATAAACACACACTGAAAACTTCATCGGTAAACTTCAATCAGTACCGAATGAACAACAAGGAATCAATAGCAACATCGCTGACCAGCTGCTCACCGATTCGTACACAAACACTCCGCTACACACAACAACGCCCCCACCCCCAAACAACCCCAAACCACAATCACAATCACAATCACAATCAACACAACCATCTCTAGTCTCCACCACAACACCAATCTACAACTCAACTAGTTAAACACATCTCATCTATCTCCTCGTGTCCCTCATGACTGTCTACATCAACAACAAACACAGTCATCCTCTCACCTATGCCATTCACTCACTCAATCGAGGCAAAATCCATCAACCACATCTAAATCCAGTCCAGTCACCGACCGGTGGGGACGTCCAACGACAAGATTACCATGTATGCTGCACACTCTCGGACATTGAAATAAATACCTGCAAGCTCAACTCAACTCACATCACATCACATCACATCACATCATATCGCAATCAACTCAGTCAAAAAACAACTAACGGAACGGTCACCATCTCCATCCTCACACAGGCACACACCATCATCTACAGCTTCACACATCACACACTCAATCCAGCATGCACACACATACACGTCCAGATGGACACAAATACACTAACCTTCTTTATCACGATCCACCATCTTCGAAGCGACCACTGTCGACGTGCAGACACCATTCGATTCAGCCACATCTGACACAATCTCAACAGCCCCGACCACATCCGTAATAGAAGACTCTGGAAAAAAATTCAACCAGTCATCAGTACCATTATATTACATTACATTACTCAAAACTCATTCCCAAAAAAATCGTGTCCACCTTACCTCTCTCAGCTCCAGACTCCACAAGCACAGACCCACCCAGCTTCGATGGAGACACCGAACCTACAAAAGTAAAACCAATCACAACAAAAACCGTTAACCGACCACCACACCATTAACAACAACTCCATTGTCACACTCATCTCAACCATAACCACAAACACAACACACACACACACAAACACACACACACACAACAACAAGAACAATGAAACCTATCTCCACACGGAACAAACACAAATGCACAAACAACATCTCCATCCGTCACACATCATAACACACAAACACACAAAAACAAACACCAACTTCGAACAACCTACAAATACACACAAAGCCAATGCCATACTCACCTTCAATCGACACCTTCCGTTCACTCGCTGACTTTCGTCGCCGTCTTCTCCATGTCAACTCCTACAATAAACAACACCAACAACATGTACGCCTACATCATCTCATCAACAAAATAAAACACAAAACAACCAACTCCAAGCAAACACAATAAATAATTTAAAAAAACTACCACAAAACAAAACAACTTACACGAACAACACCATCACCCGAATCCATCGACACCTCTGCAAATCAAAACACACATGGCCCTTCATTATTAGAATGTACCAACAAAACACAACAACATCACAAAAACAAACAACACTCATCTCCCACAACCAACAACTACTCAAAACACTCAAGACAATCAGCTCAGCCAAATAAACACACACTGAAAACTTCATCGGTAAACTTCAATCAGTACCGAATGAACAACAAGGAATCGATAGCAACATCGCTGACCAGCTGCTCACCGATTCGTACACAAACACTCCGCTACACACAACAACGCCCCCACCCCCAAACAACCCCAAACCACAATCACAATCACAATCACAATCAACACAACCATCTCTAGTCTCCACCACAACACCAATCTACAACTCAACTAGTTAAACACATCTCATCTATCTCCTCGTGTCCCTCATGACTGTCTACATCAACAACAAACACAGTCATCCTCTCACCTATGCCATTCACTCACTCAATCGAGGCAAAATCCATCAACCACATCTAAATCCAGTCCAGTCACCGACCGGTGGGGACGTCCAACGACAAGATTACCATGTATGCTGCACACTCTCGGACATTGAAATAAATACCTGCAAGCTCAACTCAACTCACATCACATCACATCACATCACATCACATCATATCGCAATCAACTCAGTCAAAAAACAACTAACGGAACGGTCACCATCTCCATCCTCACACAGGCACACACCATCATCTACAGCTTCACACATCACACACTCAATCCAGCATGCACACACATACACGTCCAGATGGACACAAATACACTAACCTTCTTTATCACGATCCACCATCTTCGAAGCGACCACTGTCGACGTGCAGACACCATTCGATTCAGCCACATCTGACACAATCTCAACAGCCCCGACCACATCCGTAATAGAAGACTCTGGAAAAAAATTCAACCAGTCATCAGTACCATTATATTACATTACATTACTCAAAACTCATTCCCAAAAAATCGTGTCCACCTAAACATTGAAAAACAACGTCAACCTTACCTCTCTCAGCTCCAGACTCCACAAGCACAGACCCACCCAGCTTCGATGGAGACACCGAACCTACAAAAGTAAAACCAATCACAACAAAAACCGTTAACCGACCACCACACCATTAACAACAACTCCATTGTCACACTCATCTCAACCATAACCATAACCACAAACACAACACACACACACACACACACACACAACAACAACAAGAACAATGAAACCTATCTCCACACGGAACAAACACAAATGCACAAACAACATCTCCATCCGTCACACATCATAACACACAAACACACAAAAACAAACACCAACTTCGAACAACCTACAAATACACACAAAGCCAATGCCATACTCACCTTCAATCGACACCTTCCGTTCACTCGCTGACTTTCGTCGCCGTCTTCTCCATGTCAACTCCTACAATAAACAACACCAACAACATGTACGCCTACATCATCTCATCAACAAAATAAAACACAAAACAACCAACTCCAAGCAAACACAATAAATAATTTAAAAAAACTACCACAAAACAAAACAACTTACACGAACAACACCATCACCCGAATCCATCGACACCTCTGCAAATCAAAACACACATGGCCCTTCATTATTAGAATGTACCAACAAAACACAACAACATCACAAAAACAAACAACACTCATCTCCCACAACCAACAACTACTCAAAACACTCAAGACAATCAGCTCAGCCAAATAAACACACACTGAAAACTTCATCGGTAAACTTCAATCAGTACCGAATGAACAACAAGGAATCGATAGCAACATCGCTGACCAGCTGCTCACCGATTCGTACACAAACACTCCGCTACACACAACAACGCCCCCACCCCCAAACAACCCCAAACCACAATCACAATCACAATCACAATCAACACAACCATCTCTAGTCTCCACCACAACACCAATCTACAACTCAACTAGTTAAACACATCTCATCTATCTCCTCGTGTCCCTCATGACTGTCTACATCAACAACAAACACAGTCATCCTCTCACCTATGCCATTCACTCACTCAATCGAGGCAAAATCCATCAACCACATCTAAATCCAGTCCAGTCACCGACCGGTGGGGACGTCCAACGACAAGATTACCATGTATGCTGCACACTCTCGGACATTGAAATAAATACCTGCAAGCTCAACTCAACTCACATCACATCACATCACATCACATCATATCGCAATCAACTCAGTCAAAAAACAACTAACGGAACGGTCACCATCTCCATCCTCACACAGGCACACACCATCATCTACAGCTTCACACATCACACACTCAATCCAGCATGCACACACATACACGTCCAGATGGACACAAATACACTAACCTTCTTTATCACGATCCACCATCTTCGAAGCGACCACTGTCGACGTGCAGACACCATTCGATTCAGCCACATCTGACACAATCTCAACAGCCCCGACCACATCCGTAATAGAAGACTCTGGAAAAAAATTCAACCAGTCATCAGTACCATTATATTACATTACATTACTCAAAACTCATTCCCAAAAAAATCGTGTCCACCTAAACATTGAAAAACAACGTCAACCTTACCTCTCTCAGCTCCAGACTCCACAAGCACAGACCCACCCAGCTTCGATGGAGACACCGAACCTACAAAAGTAAAACCAATCACAACAAAAACCGTTAACCGACCACCACACCATTAACAACAACTCCATTGTCACACTCAACTCAACCATAACCACAAACACAAACACAACACACACACACACACACACACACACAACAACAACAAGAACAATGAAACCTATCTCCACACGGAACAAACACAAATGCACAAACAACATCTCCATCCGTCACACATCATAACACACAAACACACAAAAACAAACACCAACTTCGAACAACCTACAAATACACACAAAGCCAATGCCATACTCACCTTCAATCGACACCTTCCGTTCACTCGCTGACTTTCGTCGCCGTCTTCTCCATGTCAACTCCTACAATAAACAACACCAACAACATGTACGCCTACATCATCTCATCAACAAAATAAAACACAAAACAACCAACTCCAAGCAAACACAATAAATAATTTAAAAAAACTACCACAAAACAAAACAACTTACACGAACAACACCATCACCCGAATCCATCGACACCTCTGCAAATCAAAACACACATGGCCCTTCATTATTAGAATGTACCAACAAAACACAACAACATCACAAAAACAAACAACACTCATCTCCCACAACCAACAACTACTCAAAACACTCAAGACAATCAGCTCAGCCAAATAAACACACACTGAAAACTTCATCGGTAAACTTCAATCAGTACCGAATGAACAACAAGGAATCGATAGCAACATCGCTGACCAGCTGCTCACCGATTCGTACACAAACACTCCGCTACACACAACAACGCCCCCACCCCCAAACAACCCCAAACCACAATCACAATCACAATCACAATCAACACAACCATCTCTAGTCTCCACCACAACACCAATCTACAACTCAACTAGTTAAACACATCTCATCTATCTCCTCGTGTCCCTCATGACTGTCTACATCAACAACAAACACAGTCATCCTCTCACCTATGCCATTCACTCACTCAATCGAGGCAAAATCCATCAACCACATCTAAATCCAGTCCAGTCACCGACCGGTGGGGACGTCCAACGACAAGATTACCATGTATGCTGCACACTCTCGGACATTGAAATAAATACCTGCAAGCTCAACTCAACTCACATCACATCACATCACATCATATCGCAATCAACTCAGTCAAAAAACAACTAACGGAACGGTCACCATCTCCATCCTCACACAGGCACACACCATCATCTACAGCTTCACACATCACACACTCAATCCAGCATGCACACACATACACGTCCAGATGGACACAAATACACTAACCTTCTTTATCACGATCCACCATCTTCGAAGCGACCACTGTCGACGTGCAGACACCATTCGATTCAGCCACATCTGACACAATCTCAACAGCCCCGACCACATCCGTAATAGAAGACTCTGGAAAAAAATTCAACCAGTCATCAGTACCATTATATTACATTACATTACTCAAAACTCATTCCCAAAAAAATCGTGTCCACCTAAACATTGAAAAACAACGTCAACCTTACCTCTCTCAGCTCCAGACTCCACAAGCACAGACCCACCCAGCTTCGATGGAGACACCGAACCTACAAAAGTAAAACCAATCACAACAAAAACCGTTAACCGACCACCACACCATTAACAACAACTCCATTGTCACACTCAACTCAACCATAACCACAACCACAAACACAACACACACACACACACACACACACACAACAACAACAAGAACAATGAAACCTATCTCCACACGGAACAAACACAAATGCACAAACAACATCTCCATCCGTCACACATCATAACACACAAACACACAAAAACAAACACCAACTTCGAACAACCTACAAATACACACAAAGCCAATGCCATACTCACCTTCAATCGACACCTTCCGTTCACTCGCTGACTTTCGTCGCCGTCTTCTCCATGTCAACTCCTACAATAAACAACACCAACAACATGTACGCCTACATCATCTCATCAACAAAATAAAACACAAAACAACCAACTCCAAGCAAACACAATAAATAATTTAAAAAAACTACCACAAAACAAAACAACTTACACGAACAACACCATCACCCGAATCCATCGACACCTCTGCAAATCAAAACACACATGGCCCTTCATTATTAGAATGTACCAACAAAACACAACAACATCACAAAAACAAACAACACTCATCTCCCACAACCAACAACTACTCAAAACACTCAAGACAATCAGCTCAGCCAAATAAACACACACTGAAAACTTCATCGGTAAACTTCAATCAGTACCGAATGAACAACAAGGAATCGATAGCAACATCGCTGACCAGCTGCTCACCGATTCGTACACAAACACTCCGCTACACACAACAACGCCCCCACCCCCAAACAACCCCAAACCACAATCACAATCACAATCACAATCACAAACACAACCATCTCTAGTCTCCACCACAACACCAATCTACAACTCAACTAGTTAAACACATCTCATCTATCTCCTCGTGTCCCTCATGACTGTCTACATCAACAACAAACACAGTCATCCTCTCACCTATGCCATTCACTCACTCAATCGAGGCAAAATCCATCAACCACATCTAAATCCAGTCCAGTCACCGACCGGTGGGGACGTCCAACGACAAGATTACCATGTATGCTGCACACTCTCGGACATTGAAATAAATACCTGCAAGCTCAACTCAACTCACATCACATCACATCACATCATATCGCAATCAACTCAGTCAAAAAACAACTAACGGAACGGTCACCATCTCCATCCTCACACAGGCACACACCATCATCTACAGCTTCACACATCACACACTCAATCCAGCATGCACACACATACACGTCCAGATGGACACAAATACACTAACCTTCTTTATCACGATCCACCATCTTCGAAGCGACCACTGTCGACGTGCAGACACCATTCGATTCAGCCACATCTGACACAATCTCAACAGCCCCGACCACATCCGTAATAGAAGACTCTGGAAAAAAATTCAACCAGTCATCAGTACCATTATATTACATTACATTACTCAAAACTCATTCCCAAAAAAATCGTGTCCACCTAAACATTGAAAAACAACGTCAACCTTACCTCTCTCAGCTCCAGACTCCACAAGCACAGACCCACCCAGCTTCGATGGAGACACCGAACCTACAAAAGTAAAACCAATCACAACAAAAACCGTTAACCGACCACCACACCATTAACAACAACTCCATTGTCACACTCATCTCAACCATAACCATAACCACAAACACAACACACACACACACACACACACACAACAACAAGAACAATGAAACCTATCTCCACACGGAACAAACACAAATGCACAAACAACATCTCCATCCGTCACACATCATAACACACAAACACACAAAAACAAACACCAACTTCGAACAACCTACAAATACACACAAAGCCAATGCCATACTC